CTTACTGAAGTCCATGTAGATCGTGTCCACTGCTCTGCCTTCATCAATCCTCTTTGTTACTTCTTGAAAAAACCCAATCAAGTTAGTGAGACACCATTTCCCTCACACAAAGCCATGCTGACCATCCCTAATTAGTCCTTGCATTTCCAAATACGCGTAAATCCTGTCCCTCAGGATTCCCTTCAACAACTTGCCCACCACCGATGTTGGGCTCACCAGTCTGTGGTTCCCTGGCTTTTCCTTACCACCTTTCTTAAATAGTGGCACCATGTTAGCCAGCCTCCAGTCTTCTGGCACTTCACCTGTGGTTTTTGATGCTACAAATATCTCAGCAAGGGGCCCAGCAATCACTTCCTTAGCTTCCCACAGAGTACTAGGGTACACCTGATCAGATCCCAGGGATTTATCCATCTTTATGCATTTAAGATGTCCAGCATCACCACCTTTGGAAAATGGACATATTTTAAGATGTGGCTATTTAGTTCTCCACATTCTGTATCTTGAGGAAATCTCTTTCATTGTAAATCACTCTTTTTGAAAGGAATGATGCCATGTTTTGACTGTTTCTGTCCCCCGCCCGGCAGAAGATTTAGAAAAAACTGAAAGAACTACGGATGCTGTAAATCAGGAACAAAAACCGAAATTGCTGGAAAAGCACAGCAGGAATGGCAGCATCTGTGAAGAAAAAATCAGAGTTAACGTTTCGGGTCCGGTGACCCTTCCTCAGAACTCAGAAAATTTAGAAAATTATTTTGAAGCTTAACGTATTCACGGAAATCTAAAAATTGCTCTGGGGTGGGGGAAGGGGCTGGCAATACAATCTTAATCACCTAACTTTCCTTGGATAGTTTAAGAAATTGTCTCAGTAATCAAACCGCTTTGTGCCCAGTCTGGGAATTGTTGGTGCCAGGTGCATAAGCTGCATATTCCAACTGTATGGAGAGGCAGTTCAGATCCAGAAATGGACAGTCATTCTCGTTTTGAAAGCAAATGCAGCAGGCAATCTGGTGCCTTCGATGTAGCAATTAGAAATGCCGGAGAGCAGTTGGCTTACAGAAACATAGAATCCCTACAGGGCAGAAAGAGGCCATTTGTCCCATCAAGTCTGCACCAACCCTTTGTAGAGCATGTCACCCAGACCCACACCTCCCGTCCCGTAATCTGACATGGGAATTTTACCATGGCTGACCCATGTAACCTACACATCCCGGGACACTGTGGGCAATTTTTCGCATGACCAATCTATCTAACCTGCACATCTTTGGACTGTGGAAGGAAACTGGAGCACCTGGAGGAAACCCACACAGACATGGGGAGAATGTGTAAACTCCACATGGACAGTTAACCAAGGCTAGAATCGAACCTGGGTCTCTGCTAACTACTTATTTGAATTTTGCATGATTGCTAGCTTGCTGATTTGATGAAGGGTAAGGTCAATGTTCCCTGTAGGCTGTATGACCCTGCAGCAGCTGGGAAAAACCTGCACATTCTCCACCCTGTGATTTCTGCCCTGGTTTAAATATACCACACCCAGAATATCAGGACAACTAAACTTAGAGGGAACATGAGTAGGACTGTTATTGTTTTGTGTAATGTAATGATGAGTTGTACTGATTTGATTTAAATGAGTCCAGTGGTTCTGTATATTCAACTCCTTTGATGGAACTGATGCGGAGTCTTATTTGTACATTTCTGTTTTCCATACAAATCAAACCAACTTTGCAACTCTGATCTGATTCACAAAATAGTCTTGTGTTATTCATGTACAATAAGGAGGTCAGTCTTCACAGCTTGTTTACTCATACTGCAGGTTGAACAGAATCCAGTTTTGGGATTTGTTGCCATAGCCATTGCAGTATTGTGTTCTGGATTTGCAGGTAAGTAGATGTAACCTGATAAAACATTAAATCTTGTCTCTTTCTCGTTTAAGATAATCCCATGCCAATATAGTTTCTTGGTTGAATGTATTTCACTGTTACGTTAATTGTTAATTAGATATCAGATTGCCTGTAATCATCATAATTCCCAGATATGAAGGGTTTCTGCCCAAAACGTTGAAGAAGGCTTTGTATACCTATAGCATGACTTCTAACCTCTTCAACCAATTCCCTATCCAGGCTAACAGTTTGTGATCAATTTCATGAGTTCCTTTCTCAAGTATTCTTAGAAGAATACAAGATGATAAACTTTAGCGAAAATGATGCTAAAGTGCATGGAACTGGACCTACTATTCTATTGATGATCTAAAAAAGGCTTTGCATATTGATTTCATGAATTCAGGTTAAAATTATGGATTCATTTTAATGGTTTGCTTAATTGATAATCTTAAACCAGGGGTGCAATAGAGGATAATGTGGGAAAATGTGAAGTTTTTCATGTTTGAAGGGTGAACAGAGAGTAATTTTAAGTGGAAAAAGAAGCTGCAGAAAGCTGCAACACTAAGGGACTTTGAGGTTCTTGTCCATGAAACACAGAAAGCTAGCACACGTACAGCAGGTAATCAGGAAGGCTAATGGAATGTTGGCCCTTATTTCAAGGGGGTTGGAGTAATTGAGTAGAGAAGTCTTGTTGCAACTGTACAAGGTGCTGGTGAGGCCACATCTGGAGAACTTGAGAGAGTTTGGTCCCCTTATTTAAGGAAAGATATCATTTCATTGAAGGCAGTTCGGAGAAGGTTCACTGTGATCCCTGATGTGGAGAGATTGTCAAATGGGCAAAGGCTAAACAGTTTGGGAGTTTACCCACTGGAGTTTAGCAGAATGAGAGGGTGATCTTATTGAAACATATTGTGTTCTTAAGGGGCTGGACAGGTTAAATGCTGATAGGGTATTGCCCATGGGGAGCAGTTAGGACCAGAGGGCATAGTGTCAGAATAAAGGAGCATCAGTTTTAGTCTGTGATGAGGAGGAATTTCTTCTCCTGAGGGTTGTGAGATTTTAGAACTCTTCACCACAGAGAGCTGTGGGGCAGAATCCTTCTGTATATTTAAGGCTGAGACAGATATGATTCTAGATCTTAGGGGAAATGAGGATTACAGGGAAAATGCTGGTAAGTGAACATGAGGAATGTCAGATCAGCAATGATTCTATTGAATGGTAGAGCAGGCTCGAGGAGCCATACAGCCCATTCCTGTTCCTGTTTTTTATGGTCTTAATCTAATCCTGGCCAAGGTATCTTCAATAGCGAATAGTGACAAATATATACTGTCTGGTACAGGACCAGTAGTTTTCACAGTATGTATGGGGGTCAGTAACAATTTACTGGTCTTTGTTAGAATTTGTTTGGAAGATAGACAGTACAGGAAGGTGTACCAGGAAGTGCACCAGGCACACCTAAGAACGAGATGTCAACCTGGTGAAGCTACCAAACAGGACTACTTGCACGCCAAACAGCATAAGCAGCAACTGATAGAGACAACCGATCCCACAATCAGTGGGTCAGATCCAGGCTCTGCAGTCCTGCCACATCCAGTTATGAATGGTGGTGAACAATTAAAGAATGCACTGGAGGAGGAGACTCCACAAATATCCCCATCTCCACTGATATAAAGCTGCGCACACCTGTGCAAAAGTTATGGCAGAACATTTGCAGCAGTCTTCAGCCGGAAATGCCGAGTACATGATGCATCCATGCCTCCTCCAGTGGTCCCCAGCATTACAGATATCAGTCTTCAGCCAATTCGATTCACTCCATGTGATATCAAGAAATGGTTGGAGACACTGGATAATGCAAAGGCTACCGGCCCTGACAACATTCTGGCAATAGTCCTGAAGACTTGTGCTCCACAATTCGCCACTCCCCAAGCCAAGCTGTTCCAGTATAGTTACTAAACTGGCATCTATCCAACAGCGTGGAAATTGACCAGATATGTCCCGTGCACAAAAAGCAGGACAAACTCAACCCAGCCAATTACTGCCCCATCAGTCTCCACTCAATCATCAGTTAAGTGATGGAAGGTGTTATCAACAGTGCTATCGAGCAGCACCTGCTCAGCAATAACCCACTCAGTGATGCCCAGTTTGGGTTTTGCCAGGGCCACTCGGCTCCTGACCTCATTACAGACTTGGTTCAAACATGGACAAAAGAGCTGAATTCCAGAGGGGAGGTGAGATCAAGGCTGCATTTGACCAAGTGTGGCATCAAGGAGCCCGAGCAAAACTGGAATCAATGGATATCGGGGCAAACTCTCCAGCGTTTGGAGTCATACATGGTACATAGGAAGATGATCGTGGTTGTTAGAGATCAGTTATCTCAGCTCCAGGACATCCCTGCAGGAGTTCCACAGGGTAGTGACCTAGGCCCAACCATCTTCAGCTGCTTCATCAATGACCTTCGCGCCTTCAAAATTGGAGGTGTTTGCCGATGATTGCACAATATTCAGCAAGTCCTCAGATACTGAAGCAGTCCATGTTCAAATATAACAAGATCTGGATAATATTCAGGCTTAGGCTGACAAATGGCAAATAACATTTGTGCCACACAAATGTCAGGCTATGACCAATAAGAGACAATCTAACCCCTTGATATTCAATGGTGTTACCATCACCAAATCTCCCGCCATTAACATTCTGGGGGTTACCATTGACCAGAAACTCAACTGGACTCACCCAAGTAAACATAATGGCTACAAGAGCACGCCAGAAGCTGGGAATACTGCGGTGAGTAACTCACCTCCTGACTCCCCAAAGCCTGCTGCCATCTACAAGGCACAAGTCAGGAGTGTGATGGAATACTTCCCACTTGCCTGGATGAGTGCAGCCCCAACAACACTCAAGAAGCTTGTAACCACCAGGACAAAGCAGTCTGCTTGGTTGGCACTAAATCCACAAGCATCGACTCCTTCCACCACCGCTCAGTAGCAGCAGTATGTACTATCTACACAATGCATTTCAGCAACTCCCCAAAGATCGTTAGCACCTTCCAAACCCTCGACCACATCCATCTAAAAGGACAAGTACAGCAGATACAATGGGAACGCCATCTGCAAGTTCCCTTCCAAGCCACTCACCATCCTGACTTGGAAATATCTCACCGTTCCTTCACTGTCGATGGGTGGGTCAAAATCCTGGAATTCCCTCCCTAATGGCATTGTGGGTCAACCCACAGCAGGTGGACTGCAGCAGTTCAAGAAGGTAGCTCACCACCATCTTCTCAAGGGCAACTAGGGATGGGCAAGAAATGCTGGCACAGCCACCAATGCCCACCTCCTACAAATGAATAAGGAAAGGACGGAGGATTTTCTGCATGAAGTTTCTTAAGGCACAAAGAGGCTGTGTACAGCAGTAAAATTTGAAATCAGAATAAAATGCTGGAAATACTCAGTCTATTTCAACTGGTCGACCTTTTATCAGAGCTATGTCAATTAAATACAGTAAGCTCCCACTGGTTACAGTTTCACCCTTTGTAAATTCACTTATCTGAACAGTGTTTACTGTATACCTCTTTGATCTCCGCTTGTCAATAGTAAGCAAGATTTGCACTTGTAAAGAAAAATAACTTATTTCCTGGAGTAAAAGTGTGCATGCTTCACACAAAGAACAAAGAAAGTTACAGCACAGGAACAGGCCCTCCAAGACTGGACCAAGAAATCTGGGCTTGTCTGGGAGCTGAACCCGGGACCTCTCACCTGTAACACTGTACAGTAACCTAAGCGAGAATCATGTCCTTAGACTAACAAGCCATTCCCAAACGAACACACCCAGCATGGGGCTCGAACCCATGACCCTTAGATTAATGGTCTGATGCTTTGTCGATTGTGTATCACAGTTTGCCATATTCACCGTTTGTGAAAATCACCATGACACCTCCAAGAATGCATCCCCTGCAACCAATGAGACTTAACTGTAATGCAGATTATCTGAGGCTAACAATCTGATCATAGAACTATAAAACATAGGAACAGAAGTAGGCTATTCAGCCCATTGAATGGCAGAGCAGACTCGGTGAGATGACTGATCTGATAATCCTCAACTCCAATTTCTGTTGTCTTCCCCATAATCTTTGATTCCATCACAGATTAAAAATTTGTCTACCTCAGCCTTGAATATTTTTAATAAAGGAAAAGCACTATGGATGCAGAAAATCTCAAACAAGAGTTAACATTTTGAGTTGAGAATAACTTTTCAGGAGTTCAGTGTATGTTGCTGAGTATTCTTAACCCAGCTCCAAAGAAACTGACGGTGTTGAGGTAGTGCCTTGCAGTGCAATGAAATACTTTCCTGCATCTGAAACTTACAAATAGCTGTGGAATAGGAGTTGGGAGTCTTTCAAAAGTTTGATTTTTGTCAGGTATGATGAGCAGCTAAAAGTAGTGAATGACATTCAGCTTTGCACAAATTATGCGCTGTGTTCAACAAGAGTAGATTACCGCTTTTTCAAACTGATTGTCTTCCAGAATATGGCAGGCCTACTGTTCTTGGGCTGGAGTTCAAGGTGAATTCCATATCAGTCCAGTGTAAGTGGAGAAAATGTGGTAAAGAGTGGTTAGGATTTTAAATGCTTGCTGATCTGATTTTATTAGTATTTAGTGAGAGTCGAATGTTTTACTTGTGCTTTTGATATTGTTCATCTGATGCGTTTCATTTCTGTCCGACGTAGGTGTTTACTTTGAGAAGGTATTGAAAAGTTCTGAAACCTCTCTGTGGGTGAGGAACATACAGATGTATATCTCCGGCATTGCAGTCACTGCATTTGGAGTTTATGTCACTGATGGTGCCCAAGTGATGGAGAAAGGCTTTTTCTTTGGATACACCCACTGGGTCTGGTTTGTTGTATGTGAGTACCCTTCACTTCTTAGTGAAATGAATAATTTTATTTTTATATTAAAACAGTTCAAGTTCTGCATGGTAAAGTCAGGAATCTCATTTCCTCAAATAGAAAGATTGTAAGTGGTGTGATAGAACATTTGGTGCTCAGGCGTGATTCTTTTAGAGGCGGCAATGCAAGTAGATAAGGCCATAAACAAAAGGACCAATCTTCTGTTTTGTGACACGCAATTCTTCTTTTTGATGGAATCCTATTGCATTTCTGGTGGGATGGTTGTTCAGTCCACTCCAATTAAGGCTCATTTTCAGGTTTAATGATTTGTTCGGTGAGTTCTTGTGGGATTCCTGGTTCTGGGAAGCTTGCCTGTGCTGCCTTTGGGAATTTTGCTGTAGGAGCTTCAGCAGACTTGGCATGATACAATGTCCTAAATACCTTCAAACAATGCTTCGCAAACCTTTTCCTAGTGTGACCCTTTATTTTTTACTGCCCTCTGGTTTGCATGTCCCCACAGTGAATACTCGGGTTGTGTGGTTTATTGAATGCTTTAAATGAGGTTGGTTTCATTTGCTGAGTAGGGTTCATCTGTAGGGTCTCGAAGATCCATCTGCTTGCAGACTTTTAACTCAGCAGCGCTCCTGCCACTGAGTTCAGTTTTCACCCCCCACCTTCATCGTAGTGTCTGTTGACTACAGAAAACACTGCAACAACATAAGCTTACTCCAATGGTATCATCACTCCTGTGCTCTCCTGCACCAGTTAGAACTAGAATCGCAAACTGTGGGACTAGTATTGCCTCCCAGGTTCATGTCCCTCCAAGCACTTGAGTTGTCTGTGCATCATTGCTGCATTGTCATTGGGTAAAAGTCCTGGCTCTTTCGGGAGTGCCATCAGCACAAGGACTTGCAGGTCCAAGGAGAAGGCTTCCTGACTGCCGTCACAATAAAAGGCTTGTCAGTGTTTCTCACATTTGAGCTAAAACAAACATTAAATCTAGACTCTAACAACTTGCTATCTTCAGTTAATTACCAATACAGTGATCATTTTGCTTTCACCTTCACAGTGTTAGCAAGCCTTGGAGGTCTGTATACCTCAGTTGTTGTGAAGTACACAGATAACATCATGAAGGGATTCTCAGCTGCTGCAGCAATAGTCATTTCCACAGTTGCTTCTATGTTGTTGTTTGGGTTGCAGATAAGTAAGTATTATCTTTCCTAATGTTGGCTCTCACTGTCAAAATGACGCGTGCCATGTCTGTGTAGTGACGCTGTTTGCCTCTTGAGCAAATAGGGTTTGTTTGGATGAGCAGAGATTCTGTGAACATTGGGGTTATTTTGGTGAAAACGGGGGCTAAATCAGTCCTGTCTTATTAAGACATACATATGTTTGAACGTCTGGTTTAGCACACATTTTTGGTCCTCGTAACTTCTTTACAGGTAGAGAACACGTCATCTTTTGGGTGAGGTCCTCTGAGAATTTCAGGAATATATTTCTGAAGAAGGGTCTAGACCCGAAACGTCAGCTTTCCTGCTCCTCTGATGCTGCTTGACCTGCTGTGTTCGTCCAGCTCTACACCTTGTTATCTCCGGGATATATACTGTTTGGTCAAGACTGCACCAATATTCAAAGTCCTTCACAAAGTACTCAAATGTATTTCAAAAGTCCTCTTCAACTTTCCAGCAACAAATGAACAATTGAAGATCATCTAACTTTTTTTAAGTAACACTCCAAGTTCCCAGCAACTTGGGAGGAAGCAAAGGATATTCAGCAAAGGAGGGTTCAGAAAAGATTTACCAGGATGTTGCTGGGAATGGAAGGTTTGTGTTATATGGACAGGCTGGATAGGCTGGGACTTTTTTCACTGGAGCATAGGTGGTGGAGGGGTGACCTTATGGAGGTTTATAAAATCGTGAGGGGCATAGATAAGGTGAATGGCGGGTATGTTTTCTCTAGAGTTGGGAATTTCAAGACCAGGGGGCATATTTTTAACGTGAGAGGAGAAAGATTTTTAAAAAGTAATGAGGGGAAACTTTTTTACTGAGAGTGGTTCATGTTTGGAATGAACTTCCAGAGGAAGTGGTGGATGAGGGTACAGTTTACAACGTTTAAAAGACATTTGAAGAAGTGAACGAATAAGAAATGTTTGGAAGGATATGGGCCAAGCACAGGCAGGTGGGACTAGTTTAGTTTGGGATTATGGTCGGTATGGATTGTTCAGACCAAATGTCTGTTTCCATGCTGTATGACTCTTTTTTTTAAACTGCAAATATGTTCTCTGTACGAGACAGCATGGATGAAGAATAGTGCGTTTGAAAGTTTTTGCCATGTTGTGTAATATATTAACAAATATCAAACTATTTTTCTAATGTAAGTGAAGTAATTTTTCTTCTTTTCATTTCAGCTCCCACCTTTGTATCTGGAGCCATTCTTGTATGTATTTCAATATACTATTATGGTTTACCAAAGCAAAATACAATGACAATTCAACAGACTGTGACAGAGAAGTCCAAACAGCCACTGGAAGATGTGTGATCATAAACACTTCATTAAGGCAAAACATGAAGAGTAAAAGCTCGCCTTATCTGCATCTTCCAGATTTTGCAAGGGATGTGGATATTTTAAAAAAAACACCTCCATTGGTTGTTGATTCATCAATGCTTTTTTTTGCACTTAGTGCCAACAAGGTGTAGGTTTGTTATGCATTATGACAATCCAAGAAACACACCCAAGTTATTCATCAAGTTTATCAAGAAGCCGTTTTTTTAAAAGTCTACTTCCTGAAGGTTCTGGTAATTTGGAGTCATGTTTCAAACAACCACAGAAGTCTTTGTTAGGTTTTTCTTTCAGATGCCTCTTTAAATGTAAACTTTAAAAGTCAGTGCTTTGCAGCTGCCATGTTTGTCATACTTTTAGTTGCTGGTTAACTCAATATTTGGTCCCCCAGTTGGTATCTGGAACAATGGTTCCTATGAGAATCCTGGTGCTACTCTGTATTTTTTTGTCCATTATCGCTACTGTTAGATTAATTTTGAGTAGTTGTCTCTGTGTCTGAAAGTAGGGCAGCTTACTGATAATTCCATAATGTGATTTGGCTTGAATATATACAAAACTTTTTTTTTTTCAAAATTGCTGTTTATATTGTCATTTATGTTCTACACAAGATTAATTATTTTTAAATTGCATTCTCATCATTCACAGTATCAACATTGACATCATACAGCAACTAGATTTGAGACAAAATGACTGGTTTTGATCTGATCTCTTAAACTTTTAATACATCTGTGTGCAGTATCAGGATAACCTAAAAGATTGTACTTGGTGTTACAAATCAGGGAATTAGTGTGTATTCTGAAACCCCTTTTCATGCCATTGACAAAGACAAAGCAATTACCACGATGTTTCCATTGGTCACATCAAACATGAGCCTATTATCATCAAACTTGGTGTCTTGTATTTACTACTTCAATTGTCCATGGAGAATTTAGCTCTAAGACTTCTCCCATTATTAGGAAGGTAAAAGAACAAATCCAAAACCTCACTTCATCCACCAAGACAATAATTTTGGAAAAATCATGCTCTTCTGTTGCTAGTTCATCCAGATTATCAAACATTTCTGCAAACAAAAAAACAACTATTGAATTGGAGCTTTTGGACTAGGTACTTGGCTGTCAGACAACTGATGCTGGTAAAAGTCAAACGTTTATATATTCTTCCAAATGAGGAATGTGTTCCATCTGAGGAAGGAAACAAAAATTCTAACCTGTTGGTAAATAATTGAGGAAAAAAGACACATAATAAGTCTACTTTTAAAATAGGGCCTCATGTAGTTGGTATTTTTGAGATGTTATCAAATCACTTCATTTTGTTGCAAATCCTTAAATCCTTCATGACATGAAACAAAATGTAATTCTGTTGTTCTCACTAGTTAATGACATGAGAACAAGGGAACAGGCAGCAATTGTGGATTTTTTTTTTGGAGTAATGGGTATGGGGAAGAGTATTTTTTCTTTTTACAGAGATGGTGGTAATGACCTGGCACTGTCTGCCCCTAAGGGAGGTGGGAGTGAAGACAGTGAACAATTTTGAAATAAAATTGGTTGCACAGTTGAGGGAAATAAAGGTGGAGGGCTCCAGGGATAGAGACTGATTGGATTGGTCAGCAGAGAGCTGACGGACTCATTAGGTCAACTAATGTTCTTCCTTCTGTCCTGTATTAACTCTTGTGGGATCTTTAGTATGACCCCTTGAACACTGTAGATTGTTTTCCACTTCTGGATTTCAAACTGAATGAGGCTGAATCAAGTTTGAGCAGGGTTTCTGTTAATTTTGTAATTTAACAAGATTAGCATGGGTTTAGTCGTCCTGCTTACAATACACTCTCCTGCTAAAGTCAGGATTGACGTTCATAAATGCAAGCTTCTGTTTTTGTGCAGATGTAGGGTCAGTGTGGAGTTAACTTCAAGTCACCTGTAATTGACAGAAGGAAATGACAGATTTGTGTCCCAAGTGAATGACGTGTTGCTTCTGCGCGAGACAACTTCTAGAGAGAAGTGTTTGTTACCAGCATTTGCTTGGCATTGTAGATTGAAGGCTGATAAACCTTTTGCAAACAATATGCAATAACTTTGTTTCTCTCCCCCTTTCTGGCAGACACTGCTACATGAATGCATGCTAGGAACACCTAAAAGTTCACTCATTCCATATCACACATTAAAGATTTCTGTTTAAGGAAAAGAATATTTTTCTTTTTTTTCCAAAGTCAAAGTGCTTGGACTGCGTTTGAACTTTTGTGACAGGTAGTCAAAATAGGAAATTTGCTTTGTAGTGAATTGCACAAGATAGTGCAGTTGCCCTTCAACAGTTATGTACTAATTTCTAAACTTTAAAAAAAAACAAGAACTGCGGGTGCTTGAAATCAGAAACAAAAACAGAAGTTGCTGGAGAAACTCAGCAGGTCTGGCAGCATCTGTGGGAAGAAAGCAGAGTTAACGGTTCAGGCTAAGCGATCCTTCTTCAGGACAGCAATTTCAGAGTTTTTTTTTTGTAACCATTTAAAATACTTTTTTCCTAATAGTAATATTTGTTTTAAAAAGAAGTATGTTTATAAACCTGAACTTACAGTAGACACTTACACCTGGTTGCAACAAAGTTCTAATTTTAATACATTTGCTGGTCCCAGAAATTTCGCACACCCCCTCTCTTTCCTTGGGCAAAACAATGTAATAACCACTCAAACCAGAATTGTCACTTACTTGATTGATGGCTTTCACCTGCTCTAGTCCTCTCCCCACCCTGATTTATTAAAGATAGTATGTTACTCATTCAAAATGCAAGGTAATTGCTGGCCACAATGCCATGGTTTAACAGTTCGTTAATGGGTGCATCTTCTGTGGTGATGGCTATTTATTTCCAACTTTTTAAATTGTTTGCTCATAGTAAATATGAACCGCTGAGAGATTCTAGAAGAAAATGACATGAGAATCTCAACTTGAAGTCTCACCCCCTTTTGTTCCAAATAAAATTTTGATATCCATATGTAAATGTCAATGAAGTATAATTGCATTTTTATAACTTTTTTTCCATGGTCATTCCAAACAATTTTCCAATTTTTTTTAGTCTGAGACACTTGTTTTGATTCAAACATTGAATGTACCACTGTTTCCCTCCCCAACTTCAGTTCTGCCTTATATTTCCGTTTGAACTTTTTAAATAATCTTGAATATAACAGGACGTTTGTTAATTTGTGTTTTAGTGCCTTCAGCAGCGTGAGTTACTGCAAACTTATGCTGATGACCATTTCTAGAGTTAATGTACATATTATTTTAAAGTTGTGTGTGTACAAATATTTGTAGAATGTATGGTCTGGAAATGCTGTATGCAGAACTGAGCCTTTTTAAAGCAATCCACTGCAGACTTTACCGGTTTTTTCCGAATGTAGATTATCTAGTAGAGTCTTTGGGAATCTGTAAGTACAGGTTTGTGCAGTGCCCGGAGTTTTGCAGGTCATCAGTGGGTGGTATTTTAATACCGTAAATGGAAGAACTCATATCTGTTAATAATGACCAGCTAACATGTAACTTTGTGCATCAGTTGGTATTTGGATTTTAATACGAAAGTCTTTAGTGTAATGTCACAAGCCACGGGGAAAGATACATGAAATTTTAATGTCCAAATTTGTTTTGCTCTTTTTCATGGTGGGAAATTTTCTTTTAAGCAAAGCTATTCACCTTCCAGCTGTACTGAAGTTGTAAAGAAGAGGAACTGCAAACAACCAAACTTACAACATGTATCTTTTCCACATTCATTGGACTATAAAATGTAACCTAGTTCATGGATTGATTTATCTATTATTGTCTCTATTTGGAAAAGACATTCTTCAGTCTGTGGTACTTAATGTATTTTCTTGATTATTGTTTTAATTAAATCCTTTTTTTCTTAAATTTATTATGGAGTGATGACCGTTGATGGCAAGATTTCTCTTGAGCTAGACAGGGAGTAGCTTTCTTGAATCACTGTGCACCATGTGATGTAGGGACACAGCAGGCACATTCCAATTTCAGGATTGCAGAAATATACTCCTGGTTACTTTCTCTACCTCTTTGCAAAGCTGTAGAGGCTAATTGTGACCCCTTTCTTCTTTCTCTGTTTCTATGAGGAAGGAGAAAAGGTTCTTCTTGGTATAAACTTCTTCCCCCATATTGGTTCTTTTTGTGTTGCTGGTTTTAGTAAATCAGCCAACCAGCTGTCTGAGGGTATTCTGAGATCACAGTGATAAATGCAAGTCTTTTTATGTGTGCAATTATCATCCTGGTCAATGGCCAGTTCCATGGCTGGGACCTTTCATAAATATTGTTTCCTTATTCCTGAACCAAACAAAACTCATCCTGCTAATGTATCTCTACTTATATTCTTTCTGGATGGTTTGTGTTGTCTTTCAGTCTTTCTATATTTATAGATAAAACTTCTCTGTTACTCCAGTATAAGTCATTTGGGAGCTGCATGGCCATCTGCCAGGGCTGTCATCAAAGTCACTTTGGACCATGACCCAAGTCCCAAGCCCCGTCTTGGTCTGCTCAGTGAAAGTTAGCAGCAGCCATTGCTGTACCAGTAATTTGCAGAAGTTGATCCCTGGGGATTGAAGGCAGCATGTTGGGATGCAGACAATGATGAGGAAGACATAGTAGGTAGGGTAATAAGTACCAGCCTGGCCAGCAACATCCACATTCCATGAATGAATGAATGAATGAAAAAAAAGTTTTTTTAAAAATCTAAATGTACAACTGTGTCACATAGTGAAGGCTGTTAGGAACACATTAATTACAATAGAAACACAACCATTGAAAATGGCAAAAGCATATTCATTGTTTTTTTTTGTTGGCTTTCCCACAAACGTAGAGAAAAGTTCAAAGAGAAACTGAAAAACATTAAGGAGATTTTGAATTGACAAACTTCTGCCTCAAAAGGAATGACGATTGATAGTTTTGTCATTATCTTTTATTGACATCTACAGTTTACAATGATACATTGATCAGTCAGTTATTGTCACTTAGTAACAATGAAATAATATTATGCATGGGTACAAGGTTCATGTCAGTTTTTGGACTGACTTTTTTCCATTTGTTTGATGTGTGTGTTACTGGCGAGCCCAATGTTTATTTCCCCTCTGTAACTGCTGTTGAAAAGGTAGTGATGAACTACAGTCCATCTGGTGTAGGTACATCTATAGTGTTATTAAGGAGCCAGGTTTTGACCTAGTGACAGTGAAAGACCAACTCAACAGTTCCAAGTCATGATGGTGTGAGGCTTTAAGAGAAGCCTCCAGATATAGACATTGCCCTACATTCCCAGAACGTTGCAGTACGTGTGTTGGTAGTGGAAGGTGTAAAGGTTTAAGATGGTAGATGCAGTGCCATTCAAGTGGGCTGTCTTAAATGGTGTTGATCTTCAAATGCTGTTGAAGCCGCTCAAATCCAGGTAAATTGGGAATATTCTACCTCACTACAGATTTGTGACTTGCCAATGGTGGACAGGGTTTTTTGTAGGAGGGGGTGTAGGGAAGGAAACAGGTGGAGAGTTAATTGGTATAGAGAGTGTGTGTCCAGGCTCTGACCAGCTCTTGCAACCATCATAGTTATATGGCTAGGCCAGTTAAAGGTGTTGGGGGCGGTGGTGGTGGTGTTGCATGGACACCCAGAACCCCACACCAAGGATATTGGAATTGAGGATTCAGTAGTGTCATTGTA